AATTTTCTATTTCTTCAGGCTTCTGGCATGGTCATGTTTAGCTAAAAGGAGAGAATGATGCTCTCTCAAAGGTCATTATCCTCAGGCACATTGTGCCAGGGTAGAGGGGTCTGATTTTCCCCAGTGCCTCTTCCCATTAGTTCGGTCAGAGACTGTGGAGAAAAGAGACCGGGGAACTGCATTTATTCACAGGCAGTGATGTCCTAAGCAATTTTGTTCAGCTTCAAACAAATAAGGAAGTTTATTTCTCTTAGGAAATGGAAGCCAGGTATGGTACGTTTCCTGCTGGCAGCTGGGAAATCTCCCTAGTTACTCTATACACACCAGCTACTAAGTCAATAAGACTGTCGTCCTCAGGGTACCATCAGTTTGCTCCTTTCTAAGCACAGCGTGCTGGGGGTGACAGGTATCAAGTTGCTTGTCAATCACTGAATGGAATCCCCCCGCCAAATCAATTTTTTGACTGTCTCCGGGGGGGGGGAGGGGGGGGGGAGAGAAACCCTTTCCCCACAGGGCAAAGCCAGCCTTTGCAGAAAAGTGGAACTATGAACACCACTTGAATACATGTCCCTTTTGTCACTTCTAGTCTTGAGAATGTGATTATATATGAAGGGCATCGGGTGTCTCATGTCCATGAGTGGCAGAGATGAGAGAGCTGAAGTGGCGTTTTCTGGTGGTCTGTTTGCTCTCCCTTGGTTATTGCCTGAGCAGTTTTGTTCAGTGTCCTCTTTATGGGAATGCAAACTTTAACAAATAGTTCTAAAGTCAGCTCAAGAGGATTCTACTGTACACAAAATTCTAAATAGCAGGTCTTTCTGGTTCCCCAGATCTTAGTACACTAGAACTGGAAGGGACCTCAAGAGGTCAAGTCCAGTGCACTGCTTTCATGGCAGGACCAAGCACGATCTAGATCATCCCTGATATCTAAGAGAAAGCTGAATATACGTATCTCCAGGAATGGAGATTCCATAGCCTCCCCAGGCAATTTAGTCCAGTGTTTAACAACCCTGACAGTTAGGGAATTTCTTAATGTCCCTCCTAAGCCTCCCTTGCTACAATTTAAGCCCTTTGCTTCTTGTCCTATCATGAAAAGCCACAGAACAATTTTTCCTCCCTCCTTGTAACACACTTTTAGATACTTAACCTGCTCTCATGTCCCCTCAGTTCTCTTTTCCCAACTAAACAAGCTCAATTCCTTCAGCATTCCCTCGTAGCTCATGTTTTCTAGACCTTCAGTCATTTTTGGTGAAGAGATGTCTCATGATCAACTCCAGAGCATTTGTCAACAGGGCCCTGCATGGATACAAATTGGTATCCGCATCTTCATAAATGCTCTGCAGATATCCACATCTATATCCGTGGCTGCAGATACTTGCAGGTCTAAAGTGCATATCCATGGATTTGCAGGGCTCTGTATCCATGGCAGTCAGTAACAGCCAAACACTAACGGGGGGGGAGGGGGGGGAAGCTTTCTACCTCCATGCCTAGTAAGTCATTGAGAGCAGTTCATTATCCCCTGGTGGGCACACAGCAGGTAGGGTCAGCATCTCAGTATGACACTGAGTGGAGGGTCACTCTGTCCCAGAGAATATGAAGTGGGATTTTCTACCCCAGAGCTATGGCCATAACCTTAGAAGCTCTCTTGGGATATGTCTACACTGGCAGCTTCTTGCTCAAGAACTCTTTTGTGGAAGAGTTCTTGTGCAAACACACTCTTCCACCAGAGAGCATCTTTCAGCAACCGTGCTGCAGCAAGTAGGCAGTCCCCTGGCATTCACATCTTCCACCATACTCACCCTGCACTGCGTCCATCCTGATCAGCAGCCATTACAGATTGCCTTATTATACATGCTATAATGGAGGTATGTTGCCCTCCCACACAGTGCCATGGTGGGATTATCTAGGGCAGCATCTCTCAACAGTCCACAAAACTACTTTGAGAAACCTGCTAACTGGCAGTTCTGATATGTTTACTTACTGGCTCTGTGGTCAGAGCCTCGTGGCTCCAGTTCACCATTTGCAGCTAAGGAGAGTCATGGGAAGTGGTGGCCTGGCCCATGCCGCTCCCGTTGGCTGCAAACCAGAGCCAATGGGAGCTGTGAAGCCAGTGAGCAGACCCACTGGAGCAGCCAATTAGCAGGTTTTTCAAATTGATTTTGCAGACCACTTTAAAAGACTGTACAGGGGCTTACAACAGCTTAATTGTGACAGAGGAAGCAGTACAGAGAGGATGTAGAGGAGGACATGGGAGACATTATCTGGGTGATGGAAGCTGTGGAATTAATCTTTGTAGTAGAAGACAGAAAGGGATGATGAGGGAAGTGGAGAAGTCTCATGCTGTAGATGGTGTCCTATCTGATAAAGGCAATGATAGCCATCAGACAGGCTCCAGCTATAGGTATTTGTTGGCTAAAGCCTGAAAGGTCTGAACACCCCATGTCTGATCATTTATTCACACTGTCCCATGCATTTTAAAGTTCAAGGAACTATTCAACAGTGCCTGGCTACAAGAGTCATTGTTCCTACAGGAGGATTAATATTGCAATTGTTAAGAGTGCAGAATCATTGACAGGCTGATTTCCTCATCACAAGCTGTTTTGATCTGGGTTTTTGCTAGAACAGCTGCATCCCAGAGCCCAGGGACCAGAAAGGTCAGTTTTAGAAAATTCTCTTCTCCACTTCCCTCATCATCCCTTTCTGTCTTCTACTACAAAGATTAATTCCACAGCTTCCATCACCCAGATGTCTCCCATGTCCTCCTCCACATCCTCCCTGTACTGCTTCCTCAGTCCCAGTTAAGCTGTTGTAAGCCCCCGTACAGTCAGCCAGCCATCACTTTATGTATAGAAGATCTTGTACCAGTAGGCTGCACGCGTCCATATAATTGGCAGCCAGATCTGTAATAGAAAGGTGTTATTTATAGCTGACAGTAACTGAGCCAGGAATCTCACAGTATATCTTGTGTATTGTACAGGAATATTAGAAGAGCTTGTTTTCCTCCTATCTCTGGCTTGTCTGTTTCTCTTTGCAGCTGGAGAGAGTTTGCCTGTTTCATCTTACACCCTCCCTACATGGGTGTGCTGAATCTGTAAGAAGGCACAAGCTTTGGAAAGTGTTCTCATTCATACCCCATTGTTTCCATTGCACCACAACAGTAAGCTGGGGATAGCTGGACATCAGCACATCCATCCGTATGCTTCATTCCCTCAGTGCTCTTGCAGAGCTGCTGCTAGCAATAAGCACAAATCAACAACGGGTCATCTTCAGAGTGCTTCACAGACATCAGCTAACTTACCACGTCCCTTAAAATCATACGAGACTGAAGCAAGATTGTTCTCCTCCCCCTGCCCATGAGGCAAGTAGACACACAGGTTGCATTGCGACAGGTCTAGGGTGGGAAAAGCAGGTGGCATACCTGAGAGGAAGTGCTGGTTCAGCTCTGCAGTCACATGCTGTTTTCAGCAAGAGTGGAGGCCGGGGGGGGACAGCCAGAAAAAGAATACAGTAAACATTCAACACTATTCCCGTGAGCA